TGGGCCGCCGCCAGATATACTGCCAGTTCTTAATGAGAACACACACACACATATGCATACTTGTATCATATATATATATATATGTGTGTGTGTGTGCGTGTGTGCTTGCGTGTATGTCCGTACTTGTGCTTATGCTTTGGCTTATGAGTTTGCTTTCAACATTTTTCGTTCTCAATATCGGTCCTAATTAACACTGTTTTATTTACAATAACCTCCCAATCAGCAGAGAACCGTAAGAAACAATCGGCAGACCCGCCTTGCGTGCGGCGCCGACACCGCGCCTACGCTCTGCTACTTCCCCCCACCCCCCTCCCCCTCTACCTGCGCTGGAGGTGGTGCGCCCACACAGCCCGCACGCCCACCGTCGCGCATCCACCCAAGCCGCGGCCGAGAGCAACATACCAACACTCCGAAAAGCGGCTCTCCGCCCATACGCGAGCGTGCCGCGCCCTCGCTCCCTGGCTGTCGCTGTCGCCGTCTCCTCCCGATCCGCGGAGCGCCGATGCACGGGCGCCTCGCGGCCTTTTTTATGTCGCATATGTCTCATCTCAACGCCAGGCACGGCGGCTGCGATTTCCTGGCACATGGGCCGCCGCCAGATATACTGCCAGTTCTTAATGAGAACACACACACACATATGCATACTTGTATCATATATATATATATATATATATATATATATATATATATATATATATATATATATATTGTAACATCTATCTACTTATCTATATATATATATATATATCTGTGGATCTATCTATCTGTATTATATACATACATACCTATATACATATATATGTATATGTATATATATACATAAATATATGGAGAGAGAAAGAGAGAGAAAGAGAGAGAAAGAGAGAGAGAGAGAGAGAGAGAGAGAGAGAGAGAGAGAGAGAGAGAGAGAGAGAGAGAGAGAGAGAGAGAGAGGGAGAGATACACGCACATATACATATTTAAATTGTGTGTATATATGTATATAGCTATACACATATATATATAATTTTTTTTTTTTTTTTTTTTTTTTTTTTGTGTGTGTGTGTGTGTGTGTGTGTGTGTGTGTGTGTGTGTGTGTGTGTGTGTGTGTGTGTGTGTGTGTGTGTGTGTGTGCGCGTGCTTACGGGTTTATGCATATATGTATGTATGCATGTATATATGTATGTATATATGTGAGTATATACATGTACATATACATATACACTATATATATGTATGTATGTGTATATATAATTTCCGTGGTAAAGCATAATTCCAGTTGATAATATCAGCGCGAAAAATACAGTACAAGGTATGTTTCGGTGTCCAGTCATACCGGTTTGTACAGCAAATATATATCTTACTATCTAATATCTACATATATCTCTGTTGTATGGATCATATACCGCAGATTCCAGAAATATCGGATTTATGAAAATTAAATATACTGCGCTACAAGAAATAGTTTACAGTAACGACAAATATGTTGATGGTAAATTCTAAACAGGTAAGATACTTGTCTTATAAATGCTGGATTGCAGAATCATCGATAAATCTCAGATTTTTAAAGAATGTTTATAATTCTACATCGTGACAATTCGAATATCAAAAGTTTATTGCAGAAATTCTTGATGTAAGAGGGAGCAAAAATACTGGCCATCCATCGATGCAGAGTTTTTACTTTGCCGATAAAGGATTTTGTGTCAATAAACTGAAATTATGACAGATACAGGACGCTTCAGCCGCTTTTGTCCGATGTAGTATTAAGACACTTCCACTGGAGGCAAAATGTGTACAAACACAGAGAGGATGACTAAGAAGTTCTTCGTGTAATTGTGGAGATAATGAACACTGGTTCATATAGGAATCTTATAATGAATATGTAAATACTCCACAAGATATGATTTACTGTTTCCCATGAGGTATGAGTGTAAATGTTATGATTATCTCTGCTGCACAGAAATAAATTTGCAGCGTAAAGAAAAAAAAAACTCCACAGAATAAATAAAAACCCATTTCCTACTGGTGACAAGCCAACTAGCATTGATTTTCAGAAGATGAAAATATTTGTTAAAAATCAATAACTTATGCAGAATGCAGAATTATATTGGAAGATGCGGTTTGAGGATGTTGCCGCCGCCACCCCCGCCTCCTGCGGCTGTGCTGAAGGAAACCAAGTTGTGTGCGGCCCCTTTGGGTTCACGTGCAGGCAGTGGGTATGTGCGTATGCATGTATGCATGAAGGCAAGCATGAACGTTCCTATGTGCTCTCTATCTTTTGGATATATGTTTATTTGTCCGTGTCCGTGTGTGTGTGTGTGTGTGTGTGTGTGTGTGTGTGTGTGTGTGTGTGTGTGTGTGTGTGTGTGTGTGTGTGTGTGTGTGTGTGTGTGTGTGTGCGTGCGTGCGCGTAAGATTGAAAGTGTATTTATATGTATACATTCGAGAGTATAAATGTTTACTCGCACTCCTTTCTAAACTGGCAAAAAACAACAACAAACAGCGGCCAGACCAAGTCTCGTGCTTCTGATGACCTGTCGATGGTGTCACTGAGGATTACGTGACGGTCTGAACTCGCGCCCGGACCCGATGTCTGGTCTGCCTTGGTTACGTTTCAATCACGAAGACGAGACGCCGAGCCGCAACTCCTAATCTCGTCGTGATCCATTACGTTATTTGGTGATTTGTAAACAGACTTCCTGACTGACAAGAGCGACGATTTGTAGCGAGAAAGGGGGGGGGGGCGAGATGCACGGGCCTCGTTCCAAATCGGTCTGGTCGCCGTACTAAGTGAAATCACCCCGCTTGATATTGGGTATAAATTACAATCAGAAAGTTAATTGCACTGCCTCGAGTTAGTCCCAATGGCTGCAAACACTTCTTTGTAAAATCATAACGGTTCTCAAACATGCAAAAAGCGAAAAGTCAGAATTAGTAGAAAGCCGCTAAGTTGAACCAAGTTAGCGGCCAGCCAAAAACCGACAAAGAGGAAAAAAGCAGGGGGGTTGTTTATCGTGGAGCATTTTTATAATAACTTTGAGGAGCACTTGGGTGAGCGGCAAGAAGCCTCGGCAGCGGGGCTGAGCATACACCGGGGCGGCACCGTCCCTCACCTTGATTGGAGGGTAGGGTGTCACTAACTACTATGATTGTCGGCAGCCACTGCTCTTACTCAAGTTTTAATTTAGACTGTGTAGCACCTTCGTGTGTCTCTACAGTTAAGCAGGTGTAGTGGTAAATCTTATATTTATTTATCAAGAGCGTTCGTGAGGCCGTTATGCATGTTATGTACAATATTCAAAGTCAGTCACTGCTGTAGGAGATTTTACAATAACGGACTGTTTACAAAACACTGATCATTAAACATGAAATACTAGAGTGTAATGTAAATTAATTTATCAACAAATGAGAAAATATAAGTATTTTCCATGAAGTGCTGAACATCTCGACGGGGACGCGGCGGCCACCAATTATCCCAGGAAATCGCCAGACTAAAATTCGAAGAAGACAATAATTTCCGTTATGAAAACCTTTCTAATAGTATTTATTATAACTTCATAATTTATTTACATAACATGTTCTACACAGGTGTCAAGACTTTTACACAGATTCTGCCAAAATTAAAAAACAAAATCAATATCTTTAGCGTTACACTAATCAACATCGACGTTTTTCAAATTTCTTCTTCAGACTCCAGGTACGCACACACAAACACACGCACGCTTTTCTCCCCTCCCTTATTCTCCTCTCCCCTTTCTCCCCAAGTCGGGCTGGCTGGACATGACTTTCGCCGGACTGCGCAGATCTTCATAGATCACAGCCTCTCTGCCCTCGATCTCACAGCATCTTCCGGTATTTCTTGTTATGCAAAACGAAGACGATATTAGTCATCGTCTTCCGTGATCATTGACACGAGTAGAAGCCACACGCCCGCCCGGCACGTCGCGAATCACACTCGGGGATCCAGCTCTCCCTCACGTCAATTAATCTTCAACAACTCAATACGAGCGAGGATTGTGTCGACTCATAGCAGCGCTGTCATAAGAAGGCGATCAGGAGTCCCTGCATGGAAGCCTCGCACTGGTCCTTAGCACAAACATACACTGGGGTTATTCCATTGTTGCAAATCATCTCATGCAATACACATATTGTTTAGAGTTCGTGCTTCACGCTGCACAGGTATGTTTTCGCGATGCTAATTCGTTATGACACTGGTTTATTGACTTCCTTCCTCCTTAATAGAATTTTTGCCATTCGCGTTCAAGTTATTTTGTTTTCAAACTTCGATCTTAAGAATTCCGTGACAACGTCTGCTCCGAAAGCTTCTTCGAATAACCACTTCCGCTGGGATAATCCGGCGTCCCAGAATACAAACAGAATCCTACAGCAAAACGCCTGTCCAGAGGGCCAGTGCGAAGGAAGGCCTGGCGAGGCGGGATGTCCGCGAGGGAGCTGTCCGGGCTGGCGCGGCGCGGGCAGGTGGGAGAGACGTCCTAAGTCCCGCCATCTCCACTATTACACCCGCTGCTCCGCTCGACGGAAATTTCGATGCGGAAGACGCACTCGGGGCGTTCTCCTTCGTGTGTCACTCTGATCTCCTTGTGTGTCACTTTGTGGTGGAAGGCCATGATAAACAATGGGCGACTGACACTTGCCTCAGAAAGGCTGGTGGGCGCATGTTATTCACCAAGTTACAAATAAATATTCCAAATTGATATTATGAACTTTGAATAAACTTTGTGTCTGTTATATATTTCTGGTACATGCAGTAAGACCATTACGATAAAGATATTTTTCCAACTTCAAATTTCTGGAATATCATTAATTATTTGAGCTTATTTTAAGATTACAACGCTTAAGAAACATGAAACGTAAACAGAGCGAAAGAAGCATTCAAATGATAACGCAGAGAGTGTTGTGTGACCGTCATTCTGGGAAACGGGAGAGTCACCATGTGCCTCGTGGTGCCACTCGTGAGTGCCATACCACAGCAAGGTGACACTACTCAAGTGCCAACGTACCTGTTGCCAGAACTGTGCCAGCAGGAAGATTCGTTCCTTCTTGAAGAGCCAGTCCATGGACTGCAGGTTGTGTAGGGCAGCCATGTCCTTTCCAGGGTTCTCGCCCCCTGCGCCGCCCTGGGCGTCAGGGCCTGGCGCCGCCATGCTACCCAGGAGAGGGTGAGGAGCCACTGTGAAACCTCCCCAACCGCCCACGGCGCCTGCACCCTGCCACCCGCCGCCCACCTCCGGGCCCGAACCACCCTCAGACGCAGCCACCTTCACGAATTCCAAGCGCACAAGTAGAGGCAGCAGTTAATAGCAGACTTGGTACATGACACTAGTAGATATGGTCTCACTAAAAGTTGTCACTGTGTACAAAATGGTATGGTGATGGCAAGTAGTGGTGTCACTGTACACGGCACGGGCCAACACGTCACACTAGTACAGCCCGCGGGGCCACCCGATACAGCACTGGCGGTGCTCACGTCTGTCACACACTCGGGCACAGCGGGACCTGCGGGCGACACACGGCGTTGTGTGCGCTACGTGAGGGCCAC